CAGCCAAGTGGTTCTGCTGGCTGAGTCTCGGAGTAGGACTGTGACGAGGACAAGCATCAGCGACCGGACTGTCTCGGCTCTGCGACAGCTTGGTGCTAGTATTATCGCAGTAAAAGACGTTGTGAAAGACCTCGCACACGTACGGAGTACAGAGTACTCTGTATGAAGTGGTATACATTAGTACTCCGTACAATATACATACGTACATAGGTGCGGGAGGGGCTGAATGGACGCTTCCATCAAGCAATCCACCTCAAGCAGACTGGCTCGCCGTCGAGGCACACAATTCATGGTGCGTCAGCCTCACACCAGGAACGACCATCTTAGCGCTGGTATGGCGGCAGTCAGATTTCCTCTTTCTTTTCCCGTTCGGGGGCGCACTCTGTAATACGTACGGAGTACTCCGTTAGATTCTCGTGGCTAGCGCTGGCGTTTCTTGATGCCCAACAAGTGTGTTGTGTTCGGAAGGCTTAGACATGTTGGCCTGGCGGTGCTATGTATTGTGTAGCATTCTATCCGCCCAGCATTTCGGCGTCTAGAACAACGTATCACTCCGGGTTCGGGTAAAGGCACAGAGTCTTCATTATGGGCACGTCGCGTTCCTCCAAGTTTATCGGCATGAGTACCATGCAACATATTGGCCAGAGGACATGGCCCCAACGCTCTGCAGAAGAGCCTGGCTCGTTATTATTGTAGCAGTACGGAGAATAGTCATACAGTGCAAATAGCGCGTCGAGGCAGATGATCATGGCTGGATTTGACGAGGGTGTGCGTGTTTAGTTTAATTGCTGTGGAGACGTTCAGGATGGACACCACGTTCCTGCGTAGTACCTTGAACTTCACCTGTTAAGCACATGAAGCCATTTTGTTAGCCGAAACACGCATCGGAGCAGTCTCGTGCAAGCAGGGTTGCACTTGTGGTCATGTAGCGGTGACTTTTCTAGCCAAGTTGTCTGATCAAAGCGGTGCGTTTTGGGGAACTCGGTGGAAAAAGCTACGTACTGCTTTGTTCCTGGCGCCAGCGCGACCCGGACAAGACGGCTTGTTGAACAAAAGGAAAATAAACCCCACAGGCTGTGGCGGCTGCTGGGCGGCTGCTGGACGGCTCGAGGTCCAAACCCAAGGGAAATACAACGTGTGTTGCTTATCGACTCAGCACCCAAGTCCATTCTGGCTCCAGATGTCTTTCGCCAGTGGAACAGACGTTGTTGAAGGAGGTTCTCCGTACGCTTGGTCTGACCGGATGTATACTTTACTGTCCATCAGGGGAACGAATCACCGAGCATTCCGCACGGAGTAGTAAATGGATTGTACGTCCAATGTTCGCGATCTCTGCCCCGGCAGGTGTTGTCACGCCTCCTTGGCCCAGGAGAAGAGACAGTTGTCCGCGTCCAAGAGCCTGCAGCATCTCATGGTACGGAGTAGAACCAAGCACATCAGTCCGTGTCGATGCTCGACGAGGCAGAATCTCACGAATGGACCAGGATTCTGCCCAGAGGTGTAATAGTGCCGTGCTTCTTACGTATACTGTGTGGACAAACATATTTAGTAATTCAAAGAGCACAAATCACTTGAGTGGCACGTACCTCCTCTGCTCCTCTGTGAATGGTGATGGAGAAACAGCTAACGATGCGAGCAAAGACCAGGGTGCCAGGGTGTAGACATTGACTTGGGGTTTGGTGTTGTACATAGTGCGCGCGTTGTGAGGCAGTCTTTGGAATCGCACATGGCGAGAAATTCAAAGAAGACAGCAAAAGGAACCCGGTTCGCTCGTTAACGATGCTGTATGGAGTGTTGAACGCGCCGAATGTGATTCATTTTGTCGTAAAGTCGATGCTGCGTGCCAGGCTCTGGAACGTCAGGCGAGCTAAATGCTTTGGAGAGGCCGCTCTGCATCAAGTGGGGTTGACGTCTGGTCCATGTTTGTCAATCTTGTACTTCATGTACTAGTACTTAAGTGCTCTGTACCTTGCAGTACGTACAGAGTACCGGGCCCACCACTTTTTGATAGTGACGATACTTGGAACTCCATGGTGCTGGGTGGTCTGGCAAGTCCAGGTACCTGTGTGGCGCCTGTCCTGTGCCTGTACTCGCGCTGGGCTCTGGGTCCAGAAGTCCAGAAGTCCCCTGAAGCCCCCTCGCCAAGTGCTCCCACCTCGAGCAGCCAACCCCTGTCTGCTCGGTTGTGCACATGTGCCCCAAGGTTACCTGCAACCTCCATGTCCGCACCGCACGCGCACCAGACAGGTCGATGGTACCTGTCAGGTGTACTACTCCGTACTTGGTACCCGGTGCCTGACCCTGCCTCCCCTGTCCTCGCGGCGCCCGGCGTCCGTGTCGATGTCTGGACCCAGTTTGTCTGGCTTGCAACTCGCTCTCTGCTATTGTACTCGGTCCCGATGTCCTCAGCCCTCTTTCGCCAGCCCAAGTTGCCCCTGGTCGATTTCTCGTCTCGCTGCGTCCCCCATTCCCACGTCAAACGTTTCCATTTCCATCGCCGTTCGTCTGGCCTTGCCCCCTTCAACAAAATATCCCGTCGCTCGTTCCAGTCGTCCCTCGTTCTCCCCGACTATCCCCCGCTGCATTCTCAACGTCAACGGCCAACTTGGCGTCCATCTCCCGGAGACCAGTCGCCATCGTCTGCCTCTCCTTTTGTGCCATTGTTAGATGCAGTCCTTTCTTTCTTGCAACACTTAGCGACCGTGGATTTTCCCATCTCGTCGCTGGTTCAATCAAGGGGTAGCCGTCCGAAACACTTTACGCTTGTTTCTTTGTCGCCAGTCGCCAGCAGCTGTCACTCGCCTTGCCTGTTGGCTTTCCACTGCCTATTGTCGGTGTTGACGGCCCTTTGAGACGCGCTCATTCATCACTCGACCTCGTCACGTCGACACCCGACTTTCTCAAGGCTTGGGCACGGCGCCTCTGCTGCGGAAACGATCCGACACCTGTCTTTTTCTTTTGCCGTCAGCTTTCCTTCCACCCTTTTGTCTGCCACGGGTCGTACGACGCTTCTCAAAGGTGGAAAATCAATCGCATCTGTCACACGACCGACCTTGATTATTGTCATTCCATTTCGAACTTTCGCTACAAACGCCCTCAGATTCTGCAAAATGAGACCCTCAACGTTACCTTTTGGCGCCTTCATGGCTGCTATCAGCGTGAACGCACAAAGCCCTGTGTCAGCACCTTCCAACATCCCGCAACTAGGTCGCCCGGTGAGCCAAGGCTGCTTCAATACTAAGGGCAATATGACGGCACTCGATCCCCAGATTCCTGGCGAAAGGATGTCTTCTGGCTCTTGTACCCTCGCCTGCAAGGATGCTGGATGGTGGTTGGCTGGTTTGCATGGTCCGCAATGTTTATGTGGGATGGCTATACCTCCAGAGAGTGCCTCAGTGGCAGACTCGAAGTGCAACGCTCCCTGCTCGTCATATCCTCAAGAAGCGTGTGGTGGTAAGGATACATATACTATTTTCAATCTCGGTCTCAACATCGACCCCCCGACATACAGCGAGTCTAGTTCTACTACAGCAGCCTCCAGCACGAGTAGTACTCCTGATGCGACGCCTACTGGAAGTTCACCCGCCCATACTAGCGCCACTGTTACTGAAACGGCGAACCCTTCGCAGACCTCGAAGCCGGAGAAGAGTGGACCAAATGTCGCTGGTATTGCTGCCGGAGTGGTGGTTGGTGTTATTGCTGCCGGAGCCGCGATTGGCGGCTTCTTTTTCTACATGAGACGCAAGCGTAACGCCGAGATTGAAGAAGAGCATCGGCGAAATGCTGCTGTCAGTGCTTTTATTAGCGGTTCAACGCCCCCTAGCAGCCACGGCAGCATTTCCATGACCGACTCACGCATGGATCCCGTCATGGCTCACCGGCGGATGAGTGATGGCAGTATTGCAGACAATGAAGACTATTCTCGAAGGATCCTTAGAGTATGCTTGCTTTGTCCTCTATTGTATCTCGTCTGAATCACTTGAACTAACTTGATGATAGGTCACCAACGCATGAGCTGCTTTACAACACCCGCGTTACGACGAACACAAATACATGCCGTTATTCAATCACCAATTACCCACCATCTACCACCATCTTTCTCTATCAATGGCATTCACGGCGTTTTCGGGGCGAGAGCTCATGCCCACCTGTTCGTCGACTGGCTGACGATCTAGCGGCGTTGATGCTCCTTTTTTTGTTGGTTTAAGCGGCGTAGGTTTATCCATTTTATTTTGTGAAGACGACTAGGCATTCTTGCTGCGCGTGCCTCGCGTCGAATGCTCTCTGAGCGTGTCTTCTAAGCTATACACTCCCTTACGTCTTTTGTTGAACTGCCGAACTTCGATTCTGGACACCCGAGAGATGTACACAACGCGGCAACGGCATCCTTCGAGCTTTCTCGACCTGCCGGCTCACCTCTTTTCCTCATCATTGATTACCATGTGGACGTTGACGTACACCCCTTGGGATCTTGCTGAAGCCATGACTTGTCAGCATGCTGCTAACTGAACACTGGGCCAGTGTGTGTATATACCGCATTTTTGGTACTGCGGTATATGCCGGACCACGTTCGAGCCAACGCATGCGGTATGAAACACGATGTGGAAGAATTAGGTCTTTCTCATGGAGGGTTGTAAACACAACCTAGTTGCCTGCTTGTTTTACCTATTTAAATCTTTATTATATGCAGTGGGGAGGTCGGCGATGGAAGCAGGTGGAAATGTACGTATGGATTGCGAAATAGTGACCCAAAAACCATATTTTCAAACTTGTCTCCGGTTCGCCTATCCATGGATCCCTCGTGTGCCTTTCCCCCCTTTATTGCCCTCGTGCGTGCTTGGCTAGCTTTAGTAGTATATTTAAGTTGGCCACGAAAGTAGCATTAAGTGCTAAGCTGGTGGTAGCATTAGTCAATTTTCCCGAGAAATTTAAAAATAAACAAAAAATCAAAAATTTATTTCTTGCATATTACTGCTTCGCTTGTTTTTTACTTGGCCAGGATGAAGCAATCTGCTTGTATCTGTGCGGTACCTCTGAACTTGGGTTGTGCCGCGCTATCTGATAACCAACCTTCACGAGGCGTGGAAGACTCTCATCCGACCAGCTCTTCTCCGTACATACAGCCGTCTCTGGATGCCAACAGGAATATGGCTGCGGACGTGAGCCGCGCGCATAGCACGACGGCGACCCACGGTGCGGAATCTGACGTGAAGTGCGAATCGATGGATTACAACCAGCTGGAGTACAAGGAAGGCGTTGAAATGCTCAAGACATTTTGCGAGAAGAACCGGGCTATTAGTGGATCAGTGTACCCGGCTGTCATGGATACCACAGCCGTGTATATCTGCGCTGGGGAGGATTCCAATGATGTTTGCGAGCTGACGGAGTGGAATACAGCTGAGCAGCTGGTTGACCAACGCTGTGGGACTGGGCGCATGGGCACTGCGCGGGTGAACAACAAAATCTACGGGAGGAGAAGTCCTGGCAACTATAAATGCTAATTCTGGACATTGCAACTTGAAGTGAAGTTGGGATTTCCTTGCTGTTTCGCGTGGGCTGATGAACTTGAGAGGGGAATCAGGGGATATGGTGCTACCCGCGGGCCAAGCAATCAACCCTGGGCAAAGACGTCATGTAACGATAAATTTACAGAGTCGAGGAAAATTTACGATTCCTTGCCAATTTAGAATGTGAAAGGGCCCTAAAGGCAAACGGTATATGTATGGGCAATAATTCTTCACTCTCTGACGTCGGTGTTGAGGCGGGAGATATCACGTGATCGATACAGAGGTGCGTAGAGCTTGGGGTGGGTTTGTGAGCTTTGGCGCGTCAAATAAGAGTTTGGTCTGAGAACATTGAACGCTTCTTATCGAGGAGCTCTGATTAACAGCACAACAAGAAGCAGTCGCCAACACAGCGATGCGATGAATTGAACAGTCTGGCGCTTTCCTACGTTTTATCTCTGAAACGCAACCAGCACGTACTGCTGCCGGGCGCCAACAGCCAATCCGTGACAGCTTTTATTCCGGAGCCACCATGACTTCATTTACGACTCCTCGTATTCGTCGAACGGGACAAAATACGCAGTTTACGTGAGTCATGTGATAGCTTGTATTTTCACGAATAAATACACAAAGACGCTAACAACCGCCAATTACAGACATAATCTATCACGACGCGTAAATGATTTGCAAACATATCCGATCCAATCACCCCAGGGAGCCACCATCCTGCTCTATGGCCACGAAAATGGCGTGACCATCGTTTGGCGGGGTGGACGAAGATTAAAGAGCCAAAAGAAGAGTCCCGAACGCGAAAAAAAGCAAAATGGAACCTCTGATGATGCCGTCATGGTTATCGACTCTGACGACGAGCAGCCACCTGCCAAGGCTCAAACCGTGCACAAGTTTGAGGATAAACCCGAGTTTGAGAGTGAAAACGAAGAAGTACCGTATCCGGAAATCGTGCAAACCTTAGACTTGACGCTGGGGACAGCCGTGTTGCATGTGGCTGTCATGTCGATGGCGCCTTACAACCCTCAAGATCGACAAAATGCGACAGGGGCATTGTTGTCGGACAGGATGGTGTTTGCAGTTTCATGTGTGACGAATGATGTCTATGTTATTACTCTTCCTCTGACACCGCCGTCCTTTGAGAGTAAAGCGAGGGAGGAGCTTCGGGCGGGTCTGTTGGCCGGACAAGCTGGCTCCGGAGCTTGGGGAGAGTCTCTGGTTTTGCTGAGTGGCCAGAGGAGGTACAGCGATGGGCTAGCTATCAGCTTGGTCCAGCCAAAGTCCTCAGATCCTGATAGCAAGGCGCCTAGGGCCGTGGTTGCGTCGTGCTCTCGCCAGGCATCTGGGACTCTAGCGCTCTGGGACGTGCCGTTGGACGCAAAGGCAAGGCCTGAACGAGCAATTGAGCCCTTTCAGACCGAATATCTTCCCCAGCCGCTCTCCAGCATCTCATTCAACCCGTCACACCCCACACAGTTGCTGACCGTCTCTCCGTATCAGGCCGCGAGGGTATATGACTTCGCTGTGTCCTCTGTTCCTCCCGACCCAGAAGCTATTGGGCCTTTCCCACCACAAGGCTCATGGCTGCTCTCATTGTATCAGCCGTTTGCTCGACCAACTGCCTCCAGGAAACCAATTCTGGATGCGGCGTGGATATCACATGGCAGAGCCATCTTCGCACTTCTTGCAGATGGCATGTGGGGAGTTTGGGACGTCGATGGAGTTAGGTCATCTTCCGGAAGCGCAGCCATGTCAAGCAAACTAGCAAATGGCCTGAAAGGCGCTGCTCTAACGACCTTTAGTATTTCAGGCTATATCGAAGGAACGGGCTCACTGCGGAGTGTCGCAACTCAGCAAAAGGAAAACCATACTGGAGAATTTGCGCCAATGACTCCTCACACTCGTCGCCAGGCTACTGCTTCCTTGAGCTCTACTACCACATTTGACCGTTTGGCGGCAGTTCGAGGTGGTATAAGGACGATTGCCCTGCCACCTAAAGGAAAGGCCTTGCAGGAGGAGAGTCTAATATTGTGGGTGGGCGGCCTGGAGCACGTCTGTGTTATTCCAATACTATCGAAATTCTGGGACTCACAACTCCGAAAAGGTTCTGGCGGCGGTGTAAACCTATTTAGTGGAGCACAGCCGACGAGAATGGTGAAACTAGCAGACCTCTCTACTGGACTGCTGGGGGAGAGATGTTGCGGCGTGGGCCTGGTTGCGGCATCTTTGAAATCTGGGACATCACCGGAAGAAGATGGCGGTTTGCCTGTGGATGTTCTGATTCAAGGCGAGTCTCGACTGGTTATTGTTCGTCAGGGGGAGGACGGACCAGGGAAGAAAATCGCCAAAATGGTTGATAGCCGGAGGAGACGGCTATTCTCGGAAGGAGAGAGATCAGACGCCATCATCGTTCACGGTAACCCGGAGAGAACCACAAGCTTATCATTTAACCTCAGCACCTCGAAACCTGGAACTTTGAGACGCAAGCCTTCGCAAAGCAAGAATGACGATTCTACTGGACAGTTTGGAGTCTCGGATGATACATTGCAGCTACCAAACCGCTCCCGCGTAGGCTTTGACTTTATGAACGACCTGAGTGCGGCTGCGGACGTCAAAACCGATGTTACCGCCCGAAATGTGGAAGCCGAGATGCTTGACATTATGGAGATTGATCAAGTGCTGGACAACATGAGGGATAGCCGGGGAAGCAGACGGAAGAAGGTGTTCTTCGAAGAAGACTGAGAAGTTGAAATATTGCCGAGATGACTGACTAGGCAGTGTATGTTAATACGAGGTGGCTTGACCCAGAAGGTACCATGTACGATACCCAGAGATGAGAATTTATGGCAAGACCGCCATATGAGAGGAGACGCCAAATACGTTTGCGCCGTGCCCCTGATGCATCAACAGTTTCGGCAGGGACATATATATTATCCATCGCCAGGTTTGCGCAGAGATGCTGCGGCTTGTGTCGGCCCCCTTTTCAGGTTGACCATCCATTATCTCCTGCTATGCTTTTTTTTTTCTTTCCTTTTCTTTTTTTGGCTCAGTTAAAGTCTTATGTCGTGTTATATCTGACTTCCGCACGGCAAGGTGGAGCGCAAGGCGAGACTCATCCTTGACGTCTCTGTATTCCGAGCGGTATATCAACCAAACCATATGCAATACGATTGTGTATGTTCGATGGCGTTCTATGTAGGGCGAGGGAAGAGGAGGGCTGTTTGGACTGGATTCATTCGTGGGTCTGAGTTCATGTCTTGGCAGAGGAGCTCTGTTATCCTTTGTCGGCTGTACTGGTTTCTGGTATGGCCGATGGAGGGGGGTTACACTTGGCTGAGCGAGACGCCATCGAGACATTTTTTGGCCGTGACGATTTGATAAATGCGTTGCTATATAGAGCCAAGTGGTGTCGGCACTGGACGGCGCCGAGTGAGCCTGCATCCTGTGATGTGACGCGACGTGACGCATGAGCCTCGAATGCATCTGTGTATGGCTATGAGGCGTGTTAAGGCGTCTATCTACAAAGTACATTTTCCATATCTACAAGATTTATAATTTTTTTTCTTTCCATGCCAATGCTGCTCTATTCTTTTACGCTTGTTTCTTGTCTCGTTGCATTCAATGAAGCAAATGATAGGCCATTGAACGTAGGCAGCACTGAAGTGGGGCCACTTTAAGAGCTCTCGCGAAAGAGCGCGTTCATGTTGCCGAATTTCTGGGGCAGCGCGTCACTTTACGTCCAAGTTTCTCAGTCCAGGGCTGCTTCAATCTCAGAAATTTGTTTCCAATTGCCAAGTTCACACAGGCAAAACCCTAACCAGCCATCAACGAATTCGCGCCTACATGTCGTAAAAGTTCTGCTTTTCACTCTCTTCATCACCTCACCACCAAAACACCTCTAAGCTGCTGGCTATTAGGGTCCAATACCAAGCCGCAACCATGGGTATCAAGCAGCTCTTCCAGATCATCAAGGAGGAAGCTCCTGAAGCCATCAAGGAGGGAGAAATCAAAAACCACTTTGGTCGAAAAGTAGCTATTGTACGCCCACCTACCCCGGCTTGACTGCTATTTCCCCCTCCCTCCGCATGCGACTCACATCACGCGACAGGATGCTTCGATGAGCATATACAGTTTCCTTATTGCCGTGCGCTCTGATGGACAACAGCTCATGAACGACAGCGGCGAGACGACGTCCCACCTAATGGGAATGTTTTACCGCACACTGCGAATGGTCGACAACGGCATCAAGCCGCTCTACGTGTTTGACGGTGCCCCGCCAAAGCTCAAGTCTGGCGAGTTGGCAAAGCGATTTCAGCGCAAGCAGGAGGCTACAGAGGGCTTGGAGGAAGCCAAGGAGACGGGCACGGCCGAGGATGTAGAGAAATTTTCGAGGCGGACTGTGCGCGTGACGAGGGAGCACAATGCCGAGTGCCAGCGACTGTTGAAGCTCATGGGTATTCCTTTCATCATCGCCCCAACGGAAGCCGAGGCGCAATGTGCGGTTTTGGCGAGGGCTGGCAAGGTGTATGCCGCAGCTAGCGAGGACATGGATACGCTGTGCTTCAACACTCCGATCTTGTTGAGGCATCTTACTTTTAGTGAGCAGCGAAAGGAACCTATTCAGGAGATTCATCTTGACAAGGTTCTCGAGGGATTAAACATGGAGAGATCTCAGGTGAGTTTCCCTGCGTCACAAATGGGGATACTATGTTACTACGATGGAAAATTTGTCCGGCTAACAAAAGGTCTGCGTCTTCTAAAACAAAGTTTGTCGACTTGTGTATTCTCCTCGGTTGCGACTACCTTGATCCGGTTCCTAAAGTCGGCCCTACAACAGCCTTGAAGCTCATTCGCGAGCATGGAACGCTTGAAAACGTCGTGGATGCTATTGAGAAGGACTCGAAGAAGAAGTACACACTGCCCGAAGACTGGCCTTACAAGGACGCACGAGACTTGTTCTTCGAACCCGACGTTCGAAAAGCAGATGA